AAATTTATAAAAGTTTCTGTAAAATACCTGTAACATCACAAAAGGATACACTGTAGCAACGTCCTTAAATGGAATTTTAGAAAAACAATGCACTGAGTATTCAAAAGTAACACATAACGTCAGCTTTGTAGAGACAATATGCTTTAAATAATATCAATTTTGTTTACCTACTGAATTTTTAAAGGATATGCATAGTCATCCAGATTAGTTCAGTAAAAACGTGTCAAATTGGCTAAAATTTTCAGTAAATACATGAATTTCCTGGTTATTCAGTAATTGCAAGTATTTCCTAAAACGGCCAGTAAATACATGTATTTACTGAATGGTTTAGGAAATACATGAAATTCCTGATTTCACATATCTACTGTAACATATACATCATGAATTTTATCCCTAACTGTATTTTTAACCCTTATCCTGCGGCCAAAGTTTTGGCTTATCAGTTCCACTGCTGCAGCGATGGTTAAGTGTAAACAAATATCGCAGTGAATGCATACTTCCTTTACTTATCAACATATAGCGTCCTTATCTTTGATGCAATCAACACATAAGTTGTGTGTAAAATATAAAGAAAAGAAAGAGCTTTCTGTTCATATAAATTTTATTTCTATATTCCTACAATTTATTGCATTTATGTCGATTTATACTTAACAGTATGGATAATGGATAATAAGTCCGAATAACTATGTAAATGCTGTAAATATTAATTATAATGATACATTAAATATCATTATTATACCTTCAGATAGTAGCTTAAATATATTCCTTTTAGTGTATAAACTTATGTCCTTTCTAACAAAGCTCCGGAGACTAAAACCATGCATATTTAGGTCAGCCATTTTGGAATATTTCTTTGTTCTAGAGTTCCATCTATTTTGGATGGTGATTATGTACATGAATCTTTCTGATTGGTGTATATTTTTACAAATTCTAAACTATTGGCTTATATTTATACTTGTTTCATTCATTGACATGGGATGCTCTGCTAAAAATAGCAGGTAAACAAGCATCAGATGAGGAAACCCCTCAAAACGACCTGAGGTCGCGATCCGCAGCAGCAGATCTGATAAGCCAGCGCGACTCAGAGTCGCGATTAGCAGGATAAGGGTTAAGATCATTCACAAAATTCATCAAACTTGAATAAAACAGCAAAGGTCTGAGAAGAGCAAAACAAAGAATTGCAGGAGCACAAACACAGTTTTATATGCCATTTTCTTAAATATTAGTGGTCTTATTGTTCAAAATCTTATTTGGGGAGGCAGTTTCATTCAAAAGTACATTCATTCCAAAAAGAGCATCTTTGTAACATTAGAAACATACGTTCTTTGAAAAAATATACTATAAAATTCAGATATTTTCTTAGGGTTAAATGTTCAACATGACACTAATTCATACTCTCTCATGCAATGTTTGTATGACTTAACTTACAAATGTTTTATACAACTAAATGTAGTCTCTGGCGGGACCAAGCTCTGATTGTTCAATTACATGTAGTCTCTAACGGGGCCAAGCACTGATTGTTCAATTGAAATACTTACAAATAGGTAAACATCTGCCCGGGAAGTATCGGACATTGCGTAACCATAGAGACGCCATCCATATAAACCGACCCATTCTGGGACATTCCATGCCAGTGAAAAGTAACACCCTCGTTTGCAAGATCATTGTAAACATGAATTTTTACCTGCGAATAAAATTCCGGGAGTTAATTTCAAAGTTTATTCTTTCATCGCATGATCTCTTACAAATATGTGAATTATGCTTGACATATTTTGTTGTCGTTTAGGTTTAAACTTCAAATCTATTTCAAGCAGTACATTAACAATTTATTAGCCTTTCCACAACTACCTATTTTTAAAGTTAGAAAACTTAATCGTTAAGGAACCAATAAGGGTAAATTTTGAAAAGAAGAAAATTTGATTTTAAAAATAGAAAAAACTCTTTATATTTTTTTATAACAGAAGTTGCCTATTGTGCTTTCACCACAATATAGCTTAGTCAGAAGTGAGGTAAACAATTGTTGCATTTTTTTCCCGAATTTTTTGTTGTTGCGTCTCCTGTTTACTTACTCTTTGATTTTCATAAACAGAAATTGTTGGACCTGGAAACTGATTGTTAATGGCAAACATGAATCTGTAGTTCCCATCAGTTGTAACCACTTCCTCCATTTCTAGCAAGTATAGAATGTTAAATAAAAAATAAAAACGAACCAAAAAGAATCATACTGTAGAATACTCTTTGTAACCAAATCATGAACATCGTTAATACCATCCCGTGGGGATCCGGGTTAGAATAGGTCCTCAGTATCCCCTTGCTTGTCGTAAAAGGCGACTAAATTGGGCGGTCCTTCGGATGAGACCGTATAAACCGAGGCCCCGTGTCACAGTAGGTGTGGCACGATAAAGATCCCTCCCTGCTCAATGGCCCTGAGTGCCGAGCATAGGCCCAAATTTGCAGCCCTTCACCGGCAATGGTGACGTCTCCATATCAGTGAAATATTCTGGAGAGGGACGTTAAACAGTATACAATCAATCAATCGTTAATACCCATTCTCTTTTAGGGTACATGTATACGTGTATCAACTTTGTATTGAAAGTTACCTCTAAGATATTGTCACTGTTCAATACAAAATGTTTGTCAAAACATTAATACGCCTTTTCTATATTTCTTTTAATGGCGTTTTTTTTCTCTCTCCCTAAAATCCTATGATTTTAGAAAGAACGAGGACAAAACAGACAAATAAAAGAAATCCATTTAATCACCTATCATTTCCAGGGGATTGTGAGAACAAGCTGTCTAACATTGAATTGTTTTCCTTGTATTTCCAAACTTAAGCCAAATGCTATAATGGACCTAACTTTGAAGCCTTTGTGAAAAAGAAGATTAAAACGTTAGAATTATGGGAAAAAATCAATTAGAGTAAATGTCATTAAATTTATAACTTAAATGTTATCATATTCTTACTAGGTCTATTTTCAGAATGTTTATTTATTTGTTTAAAGAAATTACGTAAAAGGAACATATATTACATGCAATAAAAATGCACAACTTAGTAAGACATACTTTATAGTACAATACTAGAACACATATTTCATGTCCGAAGAAGGGGGGGGCACGGGGGGCGTGTTCCCTAATACTTTTGCCGATATATAGAAAACTATAGAAACAAAGCTAGTCATGCTTGTTCCGCCTCAATAAAAACGTCTGATGACCTTTTTTGTTTGTCAAGAAAGTTCTGGTATGACTGCGCCCCCAAACTGAGATTGCTTCCACGGGCCTTTATTTAAGGATACTGCAATATAGTTTATTGGTCGTTTTGTTGGTCTGCAATTTTTGAAATGTGAACAGTAAAAAATTGGAAAGATATCACCATTACTTTTATTTGAATTATTCTGCTTGGAAAATAATTAAAATAAAGCTGATAAATCTCCCCTGTCTCGAGATTTAAAAAATGATTTGTTGGAAGGTGAACATTTTTTCTACAGATAATTTCAATATAAATGCCGAATTTTCAAAACCTGTATTCGAAAATGTATGAAAATGTCTTCTTGAAGTTAGAAAAAAAAAATAATATGTCCATTTTCAGGCAGATTGTCAGGAAAAGGCAACCAACATATATCAATTCATTAAGTTTGTCTTACCTTCCGAGGTAACCGGCAATTCTTCACAAAAATGGGCCACTCCATGTTCGGCATCTGAAGTCTTCTTCATGAACGTCCCATTTCTGAGAAAGACTGGGTTCCCTTCGTCTATTGTCCAGTTATAGGACACCATGGTCATTATATAATTCACTCGGAAGTTAAACGTGCATTCCTCTGCGGACTCCGGACAACTTGGTGTGACGTCTTGTTTAAAAGCAGACTCAACGCAACAGATAATAAGAAGAACGTTAAATGTATAAAGAATTCGAAGATGTCTACAGACAAACATCCTAGCAGTATTAAATAAACGAAAAGCTACGTTTGGGATGGGAAACTGACTCCCTTTATCAGCAATATTAAAGTAGAATGGGTTTTTGATATAGCGAATAAAGTGTACGTGTGAATTCAATTTAACAATAAAGTTCATTCTTAGGTATACATATATATTATATTAGGCCGGATTAATTACTCACTTTTCCTATAATACCCCATTGTTCTCTGTCCACGTTCTCGGTTCATACATACAATAATTAAACATCCCACTTGATTGTTTTTTAACAAACTTTGATTCTGCATCATATTGGAGATCAAATATTTGATTCCAATATATGTTGAATATTCTGACATCTATGCACCATTTGCAATGATTTATATCACGTGAACTGGACAGCCATTAGATTCAATATTATTTGATTTTCATTTACTTATTATAAGAAAAAAAATCCGACTGTCCTAAAATGGCTTCAAATTGTTCAAAATTTGAATTTGATGACAAGTTGATTTATATGTTTTTGACACGGCATTCTGACATATATGCAACACTGCTTGTGAATATGTGCTATATATAACATTGTAGAATTTTTATCCAACCAAATGGCGTATTCAAATCAATTAAGCATACATGTTTAACAGTGTATGCCAAAAATTGTATGCTTGTTTATGTGCGACAATATCTCTCATGGCATTTCTGTATGACTCTAAGTAGTTCTATTCTTTTTGTTATAAAATATGGGGAGATAACGAGAGAATTCGAGCTCGAAAGTCCTTAAAACATTACAAAAGAAGAGCAGAGCAAACACAGACATCCAAAACATCAGGGATGGGATCAGGTGCCATGGAGGAGTAAGAATCCCCTGCCGTTCGGTCTCAACCACCGTATGCGCCTGGTCATGTCGAAAAAAAACCGTTAAAAAAATCAATCAAAAACTCAGTGTGTAAATAACAATCAGTATGAATGCAGTCAGTGTGCTTTTTACTTTTTGTCAAAAACCTTATAAGTATTCGGTTATATTACTTAATCGATATCATTCATATAATTGTATGTGTTCATTCTAAATATATAATATTTTAGTAATATCAAAAATAATTTCTATAAAAAAATATTTTTTTGTTGGGTAGGATCGTAACTTGTCAACTCCAAAATTTTCCAAATTTGAATTTAAAAAAATAAACACGTGACTTATGTCACTGAAACTTTAAATTAAAGCCCTTTTCATTTTGATAATATGACCATAACAAATAAAGCTTACCGTATGTTAAAATGTAACGTACCTAAATATGTTAAAATGTACATGTAGTTTTTTTCTTGCCAACAGGGAAGTCAAACTTAACAAAGAAAGTGTACCAGTAGTAGGCCTTCCTACTTTTCCCGTGAATCTGAGTCATTGGCCCCTTTTTTGCCGATGTTCTATATTATACAGCTCTTTTCTCGTTTTACAACAATCTTTTCTTTGTCGAAATGCTATTATTTGATTTTTCATTAGAATCTTCATTCATCTAGAAAAAAAAACTATTTGTTAAGGATATCCAATCCTCAGCCAGGAAGGATAACTCCAAAAATTAATATTTAATTTAAAATGCATCAAAATGAAGCTTGAAAATGAAATTTTTTCATGCAACAATTTTCATTTTAATCATCTTTATAAGATTCAAGGTTTTTGGAAGTCATAGAAAAGGTCTTATAAAAGTTGACATTTGTACCCTATAAAAGGAAAAAAAAGTAATACAGTGTTAGAGAAATAAGATTTTCTTAAATCTAGCCTAAGATACCAGAGCTTATCACATGATATGAAATAATAAGTGATTTGTGGTGTCTTGCAATGATAGCAAAAGCCTTTTAATCTACGTATTATAGAATACATGACGGAAATAGAAGACAAAGATACCAAATAAGTATAAAATTCATGACATTTTTTGAATGCCTGGATACCTTTCGTTTTTTAACCTAAAATATATTTGTTGATCAATTTGCAATTAGAAAATGCATTGCTGGTATTCCAATTCGCTTTTTCCGAAAAAAAATATTGGAGATTTGACAATTTTCCCTATATAATATGATGAAATTTAACTTTTAACTTTACAGAAATACTGTGGATAAATTTACATAACTTCCTGGATTCAGAGATACTTTTATGAGTATTTTTTATTTCTTAACTGCTACTTTTATAAACCTGAGGATCGGACTACCTAAATTGCATTGTCTGACAATACGCGTCTGAAATAATTGATAAATCTATGTAATCTATAATGTAGATATATAAAATATGATTTTAGAAAGTTCATTGTTGGATCGAAGATTTTCACAATTTTTATTTTTCGTTTTAAGGGTCCTCTACACACGGTGACTTCTGACTTATATCTAGAAAAAAAGTGTTTCTTCTGGTCATATAGTTTGTGAAGATTTGCCTGGCACCGTCTGTGAAAGAGACTTAGAAACGTTTTAAAGAATATAGTTTTGAAATATTGGGAAGAGTAGTCAACTAAAAATTTTTCAAAATTATATTTTATAAAAAAAAAATTTAAACACGTGATATATGTCAGAGAAACTTCGAATTAAAGCTTTACTGATGTTGATAATATGAACGTAATAAATAAATTTATTGTATTGTTAAAATGTGACGTACAGAAATGTATTTTCTTGCCAACAGGGAAGTAATACATAACAAAGAAAGTGTACCAATAGGAGACCTTGCCTATTTTTTTTTCCTGTGAACCATATTGTGCGTCACTGTCCCTTGTTTATCTGACTTCTATCTGTCCATGTCCTGTATTTTATCTCTTTTCTTGTTTGAACAACAATTCTTTCTTTGTTGAAATATTATAAAAACAAGTTCAAATCATGATACATCATCCCTGAAAATTTCATATAAATCCGTCCAAGCATCTCTGAGAAATCGTCTGCACAAAAAGAAGGACAGAAAAAAATAATAATAATAAAAGTGAAAAAGAAACAATAGAATAATTAAAGGGTCTTCCGTTGGACACGGAAGACCTTATAATTTTGATTTTTCATAAGATTCTGCAATTGTTTTGAATGATAGACTGCAGTATGCTAATTCATAAACACTGTACATGCAAAGCTGCAAATCTAAAAGATAAAAAAATTGAAACATAATATGATAAAACACTTTAGGTTACTTTACTAAGTTGACCAAACCTTTTTATCTATTTGTTTTTATACAATATACAGATGATAATTATTAGGGTATCTTGCTGCATAATTAAGATTACGATTGAAAATTTATATGCGATATAATTTTCATAAAGCTTTGTTCTTAGATTACCATGAAGGTATTTTTTTAAAAAAGAAATATCCATTCGTGAAATAAGATGTGTCAGACTTTGTTGTATCTTATTTCAAGCTCACTGAGATATGTCATATGACTGTAAATAATTCATGTGAACTGATAATACGTCGTCGGTGTATTCTACTGTCCAGTTGAATGAAACAGCAAGCCATTTTTTTATATACAGGAATTTTAATGAATTCTGTTTAACATGAATACAAAAATAGGTCTAGTAACAACAAACGGTGATATACAATTCGTATGATAGATGCGTACAGTGCATAAATTTAGGAAACAAAACTCAAAATGAGATAAAGCTTTAAACAAAGAAAGTTATAGATAAAACCTTAAAAGCAATTTTTACTCCTAATTGATGCATCCACTTCTGCGCGATACCTATTCATGTTTTATAATAATGATACGTGTTACTGAAAGAAACAAAATAAAAACTGGGTTAACTTTTGATGGGATGTAGTTAAAAGTTATTGAATGTATTTTGCAACATTACTATCATTTAAATAACAAAAGGGACATTATGACAAGTTAAGAGAATAGCATTTGATTTTGATGAACAATTCAAGAGAGGTTGAAACCCATTTAACGGTATCCCCACAAAAAGTTAATACAAAAAATGTAGTAGTTGTTTCCCATGTCTCTAATGCATTTCTCACAGCCTTAATACTTCTCTGCATGACGGTTTTCGGTGCATATTTTTTTTCTATTAGGCATATTATCCAGTCTTTCCAACAAACCAGCTGGTCAAGAATGTCTGGTATTTTTCTTCAGAGTTCAGTTTGTCACACACAAATGTCAAGTTGACACAAAGGTTGATTGTACGAAAACACTCGAATAGATTTATATGATATTTCTACTGGAAAGTCTTAATATTATGGTAACTTTGGGTTGGGGTAAACATCCTGAAATAATTGGTATACAGCGCTCATGTGCGCGTTTGAGACGAAGGTCCTGGAAATTCTGATTGCTTACTATCTTTAGAGTGCTATCGAGGTGCTGTCGTTCCCATTATGATTTAATGAAATCCCTTCCACTCTTTCTCTGTCGACCGATTTGACAGACCTTACAACAACAACATAATGTTGCCTTTGTTCGTTCTAAGGCAATTAAATTGCCATGCAGGAAACTTTGACTTTCTGTCAGTTGTAACGTTTGAATTTCTGTCAGTTGTAACATTTTTGCATTTGTAAATTGACTTTTATTACTGAAAACATTGTACAAAAATCCAGAGTATCAACTTTAATAACACTTATTATTGAGAAAATTTTTATCGTCCATCTGTGTTTGACGTTGGCCATTTACCACTGTAGATTAACGAGGGTTGTCCGAAAAGTTCGTGGACAAATGCTTAATTTTCGTAATAATGTCAAAAATGGCAAAAGTGTACTGTAATATTTTAATATAGGCCATGACTTAGTAAATAAAAAAAGTATTAAATATATGCACACACTACATTATGCACCCTATAGGTATAGATGCTTTGTATAATTATGCAAGCCGCGAGGGCCAGTCTGACTCAACGCTAAATTCATGATAACGTCAAAAATACGGATATTGAAAATTTTTTTGTCATATGTTCATGGATACATTTTAATTTTCTTTATCATACCACACTGCCAATTGTGTGCAATAATATTTATATAGTATTTACAGACCATAATTGGAAATTAAACGAAACTTACCTGGAAGTTGAAGTTTGATTGTAATTCTACGAAATCGCTGGAAAGGAATGGAGGAATCACATGAGATAGCGCTAGCCTATCTGGCCTCAGTATTTAAATCCAATCAATAGCCAAAGATGTAAATACACAAAGAATAGGGAAAAAAAAAG